AGTGGGGGCAAAACTGGTGGGAATTCTGGGAGCTGTAACTTATTCCACATGGATCCATGACGTGGCTGATGGGAAAGGCCTCGTTTCTGCTCTCTGTTTAGGGCTGAGTTTTATGGCCCAACATGGGATTGTGTGATCCAATATGGGAATGTAAAGCTAAATGAATCCAGATTTTGGAACTGCAGGGAGATTTCCTTGTTCTAACACTGGGCTGTTTTCGTGGAGAGATGGTTTGTGTGTTAATTATGAGCATGTTTCATGGGAAAACTGCACGTGCTCAGTTTCTGTGCCTCAGAAATGCAAAAATAATCGAGTTGTCTTTGCATTCTGCAGGAAAGATGAGAGAAAAGAGCAGGAAAAGATCTGTAGGGGAAGGATCTGTCAGCCCCTGAGCCCTGGGATGGTGCTGAGCCCTTGTCATTAGAAATAAACTCAGGGCTGGCCTCTCTAAAAGCTGATGAATAGTCAGTCAGGGTTTAATCCATTTACTGCCCTGCTCTGGATCCGGCCAGACCTTAAACCAAACCAATTTAAGGGCACCACATTATTCCAAATGTCCTTGGGAGCAGAGCAGTGGAATGAGGGGCTGTTTGCTGGCAGCCACTCGCTGCATCCCAGTGATGTTTGTTCTGCTAAATCTGAGTCTCACACTGAGTTCTGTGATTAGAAATGGAAATTGGTCCTACTTTTGCATGAAGATTTTGTCAGAAGGTGGTTTTTGTTGGGATGTTGTAAGACTGTGTGTGAATTCTGGGGTTTGCACAGAATCCTCTTCAGTGCAATTTGTGCTGGTAATTTGTGTAATGAAGCTCTTGGTGTAAATGAGCTCCCAGAAGGTCAGATGTTGAATGAGAAGCTGCTGGTGATTCTGTGGATTGGAGTTCAGTGAAAGCAGTGAACCTGGTGCCCATCAAAGTGTCTGATCCCTGGGCAGTTGGTGTTCCTGGTGCAGAATGCAGAGACTTGCTGTGTCCCAGCAGGAAAGTGGGCCTGGAGATGGGGGTTCCCATGGAGGGATCTTTGCTCTTCCTGCACTGTCGTGGCCATGGATGGAACCCACTGAGGGCCTCTGCCTGTGCTCAGTCAGAGAAAGGTTTATATTTGATGAATTAGGAATTGCCAGGTGCAGAAGCCACTGAGGTTGAACAGATAAGCTGATTATGTGACAGGCTGGGAGAGCTGGGAGCATTCACCTGGAGAAGAGAAAGATCCAGGGAGACCTGAGAACCCCTTCCAGGGCCTAAAGGGGCTCCAGGAGAGCTGGAGAGGGACT